AAAAAAAAATCATTTGCAAGTGTATGAAGGAGTAGAAAGTATTCTTCAGCTATTTTATTACTATTTACTGCAAACAGAAGACCCGTGACCAATGGGGTCTGTGAAATTGTCCTGGCCACTGTAATAATACTGAGCAAAAATTACAAATTAAACAACTGTCTCCTGCAGAAAAATATGCAGCGATGATTATTTAATTTTTGTTTGTTTGTTTAACAGAGGAACTTTATGATGAGTAGGACATATTGGCAAAATGGGTGACTGGTGATTTTTGTGAACAGCAAGGATATAATGTGTTCTTCTTGGTGTCTCACTGACCTTCAGTGGTATGTCTTGAATGCACCCAATCATAGATGACAAGAGGAATGCTCACCATGGAAAATAAAATTCCTAATGCCAAAAAGAGGGAAGCCTAGAACCAAAATGAGACATATTTAAATTTATTTACAGGCACCAGAAGACCCCAACTTGAGACCCAGGGCCATATGAGGTTCCAAAAGCCCTAGCATGGTTCTTAAAGACTACATGAGAAATCCTATTAATTATACTTGATTTTATTTAAAAGTAAAGTATATACAATAACATTTAGTTTTTGATTTGTCTTCAATTACAACATTTAGAAGTGCATCCTCAGGCATGGGATTCAAAGGGAAAGTATGGTCATCAATTGGGAAAAGTTGCACATTCCTACTATATAGTGATTAGCTAACTGAGAATGGGCTTTAAATCTAAGAAGAAATACGTTTATGGGAAGGCAGGGAAAAGCCAACATATGTTCAATTAATCTCTAATTATGCCAGCAATTCATGGATAATTGCATCTCACAATTTATTTCAGGGGTGTGCAAAATGTTTCTAATTTGCTTCATCTTGCATTCTAAATGCAGTCCTGTTTCGAGTTTAAAATAGCTATTTTGCTTTTAAAATGGATGGTTCAACTATTTTGGAAATGGCTTTGAATTTATTACAGAATATGTAATCTTGGCCTTGTTACACCTCTGAACTTTGTTCCTGCATTCTCAATATCCTTGGTCTCTGTTGCTGTGTATTAGGAAAAGGATATCAAAGGTGAAACCTGTTCTAAGTTTGGAAGCACCATCTGTAATTGAGAATCCTGTATGATCAGGTTCTTCTCTTCAAATGTTTCTTATTCATAAGCAGTGCAAACAACCTGCTGCAGATCATTTTGAGATACTCAGGTACATCCATTCGCAAACAAGTATTTATCTTTGTTGCCTTCTGACATGAATGCTATCTCATTCAGCAGTTTGTGTACTGGCAGGATCCAAGACCCTTGACTCTGGTGAAAAAGTATGTTCTGCCTTTGTTACACTTGAACAGTACAGTTTTAATCTTGTTTAATGAAGTATGACAAACCATAATAACTTACCCAAATTCTCTGAATCAGTTTTGAACCATCTTGGTGGGTGATTTTCAAATAGAGAGAAGATGGAAGAATAAAAATCAACATATTGGCAGATGTTGCTCCTGTGACAACCGGAAACATTTTGTGTTATAATAAACAATTTACATGTTTAAGCCTGTCAAAGGGGGAAAATCTTAATTAAATATATTTAGTATACTGTACCTACAACTCCAAAAATATCCTTCATGGAAGGTATAAAAATAACCAGCAGGTTAATGATCATCAAAAGGATCAACGTAACCACAATGTGACGGCATAAATGGAATTTGGTCTTTCTAGCAAGCTCAAATATAGATGAGCGAACCTATGGAAGGAAAAAAAAAGAAAATATGTTAGGCAAAACATTGCATGGGACAGGCATCCTTTTATTAATTCCTCCCTCGGTTTTGTATACTGGATACTACACAGAGGAATTAATATATCATCATGTCTGTGAATGAGTGAAAGACCTGTCAGCATTTTCATTTCAACTATTTATTTCAGCTATAGCTTTTTTATGCTACCACAATCTATTCTAATAAAACATTAAAATTTTGCTTCAAATAAAAATTAAATTGCTTTTGCCAGGGTTAAAATACTTCATCTCTCATACAATGCAGAATTTTTCTGTGAAGTTATTAAAGAATGAGGGAGAAGAATGAACAACTCTCATTTTTATACTATATAATATTTTCACTTTCTACTTTCTGATAAATATTTGAAACGGTATCATAATACAGAGTGGCTGTCCTTTGAGTTCTGATTGTTTAAGAATTCATAGGAACTGTGACTTGTCTATTATCTGGGAATCCCACAGAGACAACTTCTATAAAATATTGCAGCAAGAGTGCTGATTAGACTTGGGTGGTATAAACACCTCACACCAACTCTTTATCTTCCCTGGCTCCCAGTTTATTTCTAGTCCCAGTTCAAGGGATGGTTTTAATCTATAAAGCCCTTCAGTCTGTGAAACTCTCTTCCTGAATGTTCCTACTTGTGCCATGGCCAACCACAAAGGGGCTGCTTGGGATGACTTCTCATCCTGAGATGTGACAGATGATTACCCAGCGCAAGCCTTTACTTTGGAATGCCGCCCCCAGCAAAGAATGCCTAGTGCATATCATCTGCTGTAATAGAGATTTTAAACTTTTCATTGCTGCTTTGAGTTTCTGTTTTTGTTTTAATATTTACTTTTTATTTCATTCTGTACTTTATAAAATGTTTTAACATATGCTTTATGAATTGTTCTAACCAATTGCTTCCATTATGAACTTCTTCAAGGATTTTTTTTCAATTGGGAAATGGTACTTCCCAATTTTAATGTTTAAAACAAATACCTAAAATCCTAGACTGATCTTCTGCACTACATCAGCTTTTCTGAACCAGCCATACTGAAAACTATTATAATTTCCATCACTCTGACCCACATGACTGAACAATGTTTGGGGATGATGGGATCTGTGCCCTAATACAGCTAGAAGGTGCCAGGATTTGTGGTAGGCGTCACTGGCTGTCATCACTGACTGTCATCAATGTTCCTATTTTAATATTTAAACATTAACAAGGAGCACCAGCAGTTACTTATTTCAGAGTAAAGACAAATAGAGCACTTAACATTCTAAATAACCTTAAGCATTTTAGTTTTGAGAAAACAGTATCTACCTTCTGGAGAACAAAAAGGAGAGGAGGGGGAAAAATGAAAGGTGCAAACAACTGTAATGCAGAATGAGTCAGCTGCATATCAAATCATATTCATGGACCAAAACAGTTCATAAATACAACTTCTTGGAGTAACTGGGAAGATAGACAACTATGTAATAGGGACTTGAGGAGAAAGAGAGGGGAAAATTAAGTTAAGCTGTAGTTCCTATATTCATATGGGGAAGAAGATCCAGGAAGAAAAGATGGCTAAGAAAGGAAAACATCAATGCCCGAGTTGTTTTTGCAGCATGATTAGAGGGTATATTTTTTATGTACTGTATACAATTACGAACTCAATGTCAATAGGCTTAATGGAAGTAGAAATGGCAAGTTCTTAATCATACTTTTATTTTGAGGAAAAATATTTTCAGCACTGCAAATATTTGGAGTTTAGAAGCCTGGGGATAGATGTTAACTTGCAATCCATTCTTGGCAAAACAAAAACTAAGTAAGGAAGAGAAAATTCGATTCTTGTATTTAGAACTGCCAATCTATTTACAAATGGACAGAAAATTCCAACTTACAGTGAAAAACAACACGGGGACTGTGAGTATGACTGCAACAATGACGGCAACACGAACAGTTAAGACAAGGATGTCATCTTTATTCTGGTATTTGTGAAGCAAATCTGACTGTACAAGTTCTGCAGGGAAAACAATGATAGAGCTGTTCTAGCAGTCAGATAATTAATTAATACAAGCTGCCACTTAGTAAGAGCCATCTCAAACAACATGTGATTAATCTGTTGACAAGAGGCTGGTGAATCACCTCTTCAAATCAAATTGTCAGAATGGTTCAGTGCATCAAACTATGTTGGATCCATCTGTATGTGCTAGAAGAGATTCAATATTCAATGAATGTTTCTGTATGTATACTTTTTTGCAATTGATTCAGAAGTGAGAATCAGCATGATTTTCTGAATCAAATCAATTTTGTGATCTGAATTTCAAATTTAAACCAAAGTTTAGGTGATTTGCAAAATCGTCTTCTACATGTTTCTTTCAGAACCCTGAAACAAGTACAACGATGAATAAATATGTATTGCAGAGGTAGAGATTTATGCTAATATTCAAAATTTGCCCATGCTGATTTGTTTTGCAGTAAGGATCCAACATAAACCTACTTTAATAGTGCTCAATTTGCCCACTTCTTCCCAACCTTCTTCTTGTTGCAGGAAAGAGTGCGGGTACAATATCCAGACAAGAAAAATGCTCTTTTCAAATTAAGCATTACTTAATCTGGATGTTACTTTCTGTGCAAAGGAGTAAGAAAGTGGCGCCACACACCATTTTATAAAATCCATATTTGAATGCTAAAATGTTTGAAATGTATGCAATCATTATTGGCCTCAGCTGCTTGTTTTAAAAAATACTATGAGGTCAAGAAGCCACCTAAAATTTCATGCATGTTAGGGAAGACTGAATACATACATACCATAAAATGTCAAGTAGCCAAAAATAGCAGTTAAGAAGTACATGACAAACATGGCAAAGAAAGAGATTTTTGTAACCATCTGCATTCTTTTCTGGGAATGACTGTGAAAAAAAAAAGGAGGGGGAGGAGAGGAATGAAGAGGTAAAAGAAATTGGTGGTATTATTATTATTTCCATTCAGAGGCTACTCAACTCTTCAGCAACATGTACTAAACTTTAATACATGCTCACAGACACTACCATATTTATAGGTAAAATGAATATTATTGTGAAGCTTAGTTATGAAGGCAAACAGTTAGTAATAACTAATTGTTAATTATTAATCTATATATTTTAAGTAAAGTTTAAAGAGAAGACTAATGTATAAATTTCTAATGCATGATACATCTTCAAAATTTTAGGGACTAATGATTAAAAAGTTCAATTTCTAGTTGTTTCCATCTAAACCTCAGTTTATTTCCCATGAAGGTGTATATAATTATTTATTTCCTTAGAAGGCCATCCTTCAGTATACTGCACATAATCTCAAGACAGCTTGCATTCCTAAAACAGAATTAAAATATAATGTACAGACCACAAAATTGAAGAAACACTATAACAGAAAACAAGATCTCCTTATGGATTAAAAGTTGCAATCCAGGAGAAAAGTCCTAAAGAGTTTCCTTGGGAACTAGGTTCCAAAATTGGGGCACCACAACTGAAAAGCCTTCCTCTTTGCTAGCATCCTACCTCATCTCCTTTTGCAAGGTTCTCAGTGAGTGTCAGGGCAATGCAAGTGGGCCCCTGCAAAGTTTTGTCTATAACAAATGAATGAACTTAACTCCAAGTATAGTAATATATGTGATTAAACATGTGGATTAACGCTGCAAATATATTTTCTCCCACTGCAAATAACAGCAGCTGGAACGATCTCAGCAAGCTCGAATACAGTTTTTGGTACTGTCCAAAATTCCTATCTGGTTTCATAGGAAAACTACAGCGGTTCTTGAAAGGGTGGGGGAAGAGAAGGATTCTTTTGTGATTATGACTTGAGAAAAAGAATTACTCCTCCATCCCCATAAGCTGGGAGAGATCCTGATTAAGTCTTCACAGTAACACTTCCTCTGGATCCTGAATCTGAGCAGGCTCCCTACCTGCTGCTATTTAGAATGGAGTTAGTTTCCATGTGCAGTTCAAAACACTAGTGAAGACATATAAAAGGCTTATCCTACGTTTTGATGGAGAGTTTATGTTCCAAAAGTAATGAAAGCAAGTTTCCTAGGGACAACAGAAAGGACTTTCACAATGGCTACATCTAAACTAAGTAATTTCGTGCTTTGAGAGATCAGGCTAGCCTCTTCTCTGGTGGATTTTCAGCAAGAGGCTTTTAGAAGGTTTCTATGTCACAGACAGTGTAAACTTTATTTTGAGAAGTTATTCTCACTGTGCTTGCTGTTATTTGATATTATTTTATTGGATACTATTTTTAGATTTGTATTAATTTTGATCTCATTTTAACATCAATTACTCAAAATAACATCTAGGCATTGAAATGGGATATATATAAATGAACAAAATACCTATAATATCATGTAGTATCATCCTTCCAGCTTATAGTATCTAAGTCTGATACCAAATGGAACAGAAGATCCTACAGCCAAAAACCCAGCACAAGAGAAATATAAATGTATGATCTGCGGGGATAAGAGCCATATTGAGCTATCTAGGATTTCTGAGATTGTTTCTGAGAATATCAATATTGACTGTGAAAATAAGAGCTTTTAACCAACAATTTTAAGGACGATTCAAGTAAAAACAGGAATCTGGTTTAGAAAGCTTAAAAAAGAAAGAAGAAACAAAATGGCAAACTAAGACATGGAAGTTTTGAATCCTTTGAGTCTGAAGCGTGAGTAATAGTTTCCCCATTGCATTAGCTCTAATCAAGTATCAAACAGTCAAAATAACCATGGAAAGTCAAAATAGGCTATTAAGCAGAAATAGCAGCTCACTAATGCAGCATACGCTGTGCTTATGTAAGCTGTTAGGTTTAAGAACTCGAATCCCTAATTTAAGGACTTCAGATAGCAAGAAACAGCCAGGATAGATGGAGCAGGCGATTTTCAATCCATGCACTCATCAATAAGTCTGTTCTTTCTTCCATACTTATCAGTGATTTTTCATACTTAGATTATTATTTAAATGTATAGGGTTCATATTTAAATAATTACATATGAATGCATTTTTATTTACAAAACATTTTAGCTCAAGCACCATTTAAAACACATTTAATAAATACTTTGTTACATTTTTTAAATTCAGCACTATACTACAAAATCTAAAGAAAGGAAAGATGTGAATTAGGTTTCAATCTGACAATTATTTCAGAAGTTATAATCAGATCAGTTTGCATTAAAAACCACAAAGATTAAATTCTTGAAATAGGTCTAGAAAACAGTGCTAAAGAAGGCAGCTGAATTTTGTTTGACTTTGATTAAACTTGACTTTGTTTATTTAAGCAGTCCCTTCTAGGCATCTTCCTATTTGGGTACATATACAAACAAGGACCCCATATAATGGGGATGTTAACCAATTTCAAATGAGGTAAATTTAATATGCAAGATTAAAGTGGAAGTCCTATTCACAAAGGAGTTTTCATTGTTTCTTGTTTGCATTTTTAACCCTCTGTTAGCTGCCCAGAGTTGCCAGTGTGAGATGGGTGGCCATATAAATCAATATATCAATCAATCACCGACAACCTGACCCCCCACAGATGCTTTAAGATATAATACCAAGACAGTTAACTCTTACTGGAATAGATTATGGTTAGGAATTATGCAGCTATAGTCCAAACACCTGGAGACTACCAGGGTATTTACATCACCTATATACCTACTACCCCTATGTGATTTCTGGGATCATGATTCTGCCTTAAGGCATATAAATTTTATAGGGTACAGAAAACACCTGTGCTTTCAGATTTTTAATTTGTCTTACACATATATTTAACACAAAGCAGCCTCAGAAGATCTGAGAATTCTATTAACTTTGCCTTTCAGATTTTAGTAGTATAGTGCTTAGATGGTTAATTTTTTAACAGAATATAACACCTGATTGAAAGTGTAAGGTTGAAAGGAACAGGGAAAAAAAAACAGTATTTGCATCTCTGCTAGGTTAAGCTGCCTTTGAGCCAGATGTGGTTAATGGCGCTATAGCTCAAGATCCTTTCAGAATTATTGTTAGCATCATCGGTATTTCTCCAATAGCTGTGAAAATCTAAAGAAAATACCCAACTCGTAATACCTTTCCTTCAATCTTCCCCCTACCCCTGTGAACCAAGGCCTTCTGGATTAATGTCAGATATTTCCCCCCTCCCCCCGGGTAACGACAGGACTGCAGGATATAGCTCAACACTCCTATTAGACAAAAACATTCTTTTTAATAATCAGTAATAAATATTCTCTTACTCTTTAAGCTCACTGTAGATTGGAAGGACTGATGGATGGCACACAAATGCAAATGCAATAGTAGGCAAAGCATATACACTCTGTTAAAAAAAAAAAGTAGAATCAGGATATTTTTCCTAAAGTCATTATAAAATCTTTATTGTTTCAAATATCAGAATGGGAATTTTCTGTATGTTTGCATCTGTAGTAATATTCAAGCCATACGGGAGGAAAGCATCACATAGGAGATGAGATCCAGAAATTTCTTTCTCTGATTATTGAGTCCTTTCATGGAAACTTTCTTTTCTAATGTGGTGCTCTCCATATATTTTAAACTATATCGCCCATCATCCCTCATCACTGGCTTGGACTAGTGGCAATTTAATCCTAAACATCTGGATGCCACGAAGTTGGAGAAATCCGTATTAAAGGAATGTACTTTTCATCAGATGAAAATATATCCTAGAATAGCATTGTCTTTTCTGTATGTATGTTCAAAAGCTGTGAAACTTTACAATTAAGAAAATTCCAGTAACATAAAAGAACTTTTATGAAGGTTTGGAAGATAAATTTCAATGCATTTGCTTAGTCACATATGTCTATGGAACACAGTTCTTGAGCATCATTTAGTTTTACCCTCCAATACCAGGACAAAGCATACAGACTGAGATTTCTTATTAAATTTTCAAAAAAATGATTGAACTTGTATTTTCTTAAAATTTAATAACAGCCTAAAATTAATTTAAAATAAAATCTGTATTCTAACATTCATTTTCTACAGACTGTTCATACCTGCTCTTTATAGCACATTCTCCCATTATCTGTATCTATATCTATCTGCATCTATTATCTATATCTAATTTCTGTTTTTATTTTGTTCTTCTGTATATTCTGAATTTATTCTTTGAACACTCCAATCATGGAAAGAAAACCCATACCACATGGAAACCCTTCTGACTGAAAATCCTGGGAGAATTCTCCCCTAATACCTAGAGTGGAATTTCTTAGTGGAAAGAAATAGCAAATATTGTAGAAAAAACATACCTTAGAATTAAATGTAACATACTTTGGTCTGCACGCCTCAGTGCCAAAGCTAACATTGGGAAAGGTAGCATTTGTTCCATTTCTGTCCAGAAAAGGACAGGAAAGCTCAAATTTCTTGTATATAACCTACAATAAAGGACCACAGTTAAAAGATTCCCTGCAAATGGCTTTAAATTGGAAGTTTAATCACTTAGACCAAATTGAAACATTAAGCCAAACTTACCACTATGAGAAAAAATACCATGCATGTCAGGGAAAATCCACTAGTATAGCCAAGATAGCCTGATAGAAATTCAAAGGACAACATATTCAGTAATTTATCATTACTTTCATTGATGTACTTAATGGATCATTCCTCCACTTTCTGTGCATTTTGATTTTTTTCACCTTTTCAAATGATCATACAAATATAAGGAAACCTGACAGCCAATGAGCCTTAGTTGGGCTAGTAACATTCAATATTGTTGATCTAAGTTTCTAGATATAAATATTTATTGATTAAAGCTTTTCTAAGTGGTATAGTTTTACTGTTTTTAACTTACTTACTTGTTGCTTTTAATTTATAGCTTTTAATCTCATAGGTATTTTACAGTAAATATATCTTATGTTATTAATATTAATATTATAGGGTATAATGAGGAACCTTTGTGTTAGAGAAATATTTTATTATTTAGTGATTAATTCTGTATTGTTTGCTGATCTTAAGGGCCAAGCAGGCTCAAATAAACATAGGCTAACTTCTTAAATCTTATAAAGTACCTTCCACATGTGCTTCGGTCTATATATCCCCAAATTTCCAGCCAGCAGTGACAATAAAAATCCAGGACTTCTTGTTGTTATTATCATTGTTACTTAAATTTGTTACCACCAAAAAAATCTAGGTGGCTTACAACATTGGAATATACAATTAAAACAAAAACATAAGAACAAAACATAACAGCTCAGACTAAAAACAACCAAACTATAAAAAAAACCACAACAAACACACTATCCCCAGGCCCAGAAACAGAGCCAGGTTTTAAGGGCCTTCTGGAGAGTAGATACTGTATGCATCACTGGGGGGATGCTGTTCCAGAGGCCAGAGGCAGCAACACAGTAGGCACGCTTCCTGGATCACACAAGATGACAACATTTAAATGACAGGACCTGGAGTGCACCCACTCTGCCCGAACATACCAGACAGGCAGAAACTATTGGAGATAGGTGGTCCCGGATATAACCAGGCCCTATGCCATGAAGAGTTTTATAGGTAATGACCAGCTTCTTGAACTGGACACAGAAGCTGACTGGCAACCAGTGCAGGTTGCACAGCAGTGGTGACTCATGAGCATAATGAGAAGTGCCTGTTACTGCTTGCGCTGCTGCATTTTGAACCACCTGTAGCTTCTGGATGGTCTTCAAGGGCAGCCCGATGTAGAACACGTTGCAATAGTCCAGTTGCAAGGTATCCAGGATGTGGCCACCTTACAACTGGACTATCTGAAGGGTCTCCCAGTTAAGGAAATGGGGCAACTGGTGCATAAGATGAATCTGTACAAAGGCCCTCTTAATACATCTGCATAGTATCCAATTAGAGAAGGTGGCATAGGCTGTTCTTCAAATAAACTTCTGGCAAACTGTGTAGATTATTCAAGGTAATGACCAGAACTTTGAACTAGGCCCCAAAGTATACAAGCAGTCATTGCACTTGGTATGGAACCTGCTCAAGTTATATTCAGATTATGTGTTCCTCACATGCAGTTGGGCAGCTATAGTCTGTACAAATTGAAGCTTCCAGGTCTTTTTCAAAGGATGCTCCATAGTCAATTTGGATGCAAACAGAGCATTAATAACTAGGCACATATGCCAGGAGCTTATGATACTGAAGGTACACCACTTTTTCATCAATATTTTGTAATGTCACTGAATGTCATACAGAGCAAAACATGTTATTATTGGGGACCCCAGCTATTTATTTATTCATTCGTCTTTTAAAAATCACCATGGGGATGCTATTTTGATTTTTACCTCTATCATTTGAGTTACTCTGAAGGAATATTTTCTAAAGTTTTCCATAGTAAAATGGGAGTGTCACAACCAGCAGTGTTGTGCAGTGATTAGACTAGGAGTTAGGGTAATTCCAATTAATTAATTAATTGCATTTATGTACCATCTCTTATCTGAGGACAAAGGGTGGTATATGGAGGGAAGGGAATCCCTTAAATGCTATCTCCACAAAATTAGCGACACTGTGAGATAGTTGGGTGGAGAAAGAGTACTGGCCAAAATCACTCAGTGAGCTTTGTGGTTGGTAGTTACTTGAATCTGCCTCTCCTCGATCCAAGTCCACACCTTAACCATTACATTATACTGGCCCTGGGTGAGGTTCAGATACTGTGTAATTATGTATCTTTTTCAATATATTTGTTTAATATACAAAAAAGAAAACAAAAACAAAAACAAAAAAAGGAAAAGGAAAAGGGGGAAAAACGGGGGAAAAGTAAAAAAAAAAAACCTAAACAAGAATGCAAAACACAAAAGCAAAGGAAACAACAAAAATATATATTATACATAAAGAAAATAACCTAATTTTAAAACACATAATACTCTTGACCACATGAATAGTCCTTCTGTCAATAGAGAGCCTGCTCATCAACAGAAAGCTAATACATATCAGTGATCAAAGATTGTAACGCTGAGGTCACACTGCCTTGCCAATAATGAGGAATAATATTTTTTGCTGTCCTTCATGCTCAGTGAATTTGTAATTCTGGATACATCCAAGTTTTTCATAGACAATTCAAGAGTACATTCATATTTTAAAATGTACCGATATTTATTAATATGGTGTCATAAAATTAAAGATACTGAACCAAAATGAGGTAATAGTGCCCATATCATAGGACTAGAGTTCCCGCACTACTTTTATACTTCCAATATACATAAAGTAACAACCAACCATTTTAAAACACACTCTGGAGTTTCCAATAAATCTCAAAAAGTCTTTTGTTGGATTGCTCCAGTCAAAAGCTTGTTATAAGTGGTAAAACTCAGACAAGGTAAGAAAGAAACATACTTAATATTCTTTAAGATCCTTAGCCAATGATTTGCTAATATGGGATGTTTTAACTTTTTATTTATGAGTTCTTGAAAATAACTATAATAACAATATTCTTGAAAAAAATGTAGATCTAGAATAATTGAAAACACCTTCCCATAATGTCATGAATTTAGTAATTTAGAACAAGGGCAATGCATCTGGAATTGTGAAATGAAGAAATGAAACTGCCATTTCACAACTTCCAGTAATCCAAATTCTTCTTGCAATAACTCAAATGGTTTAGAAACTTCACTGGCAGTAAACTGATCTTAAGAATTAATATCTTCCTTGCCTTTGACTTAAAAAAAGAACCTGCAATTTTCAAATGGAAAATCCAAGCCTTGTATGAAAAAAAACTACTAAAATTAAGAAGCATACTTCAAATGGAACTATTAAAGTTCTTGACTGCAAAAGAAATTATCTTATATTCCAAAGAGCAGTAAAGGCTGAGAATTTCCAGAAGAAAAAGAAAGCATTAGATTATAATGCAGGGGCTTCAGTATCTTGCAACCCTTTGCTGCAATAAATTTTATTGTTTAATGTGACAAGAAGGGGAAATTATTATATAATTGAGTAATAATTATATAAACGGTATTTAATTAATTTTTTGTCCTGGTTCTAGCCATTTTCAAAGGGCAATCCTCCCCACATTGGCCAATGCTGTAAACAATGCTGTAAACAATGAAAAAGGGCATTTTTAGATTCCCTGGGTGAGTTTTCATGAAAAAAAATCTTGTTCTGGACATCTTGTTACAGGTGATTAAGCTCTGAAGAGGTAAACACAGAGGGCTTGTAGTAAGCAAGAAGCAAAGCCTTGGTAAAAAGGAAGATCTGAAGCAACAATATTCTGGATTAGGAATCCAAAAATATCTTGACTTTACAAACATTCTGAGATGTTTGCTAAACTAAAGTTTATACAGATTTTTAAAAATATTTAATATATCTTAATAGCACTGTTTGTTTGTTTGTTTGAAGCAACCTACACTATTTACTGTTCTCAGGGAGTACAGGTCTTTTTTTGGACATAACCAATCTCAAAAATAGAAAAATGGAACAAAGACATTATTTAGTCTCTGTTTCAAACTTAAATAACCAGATATATTCATCCTGTACCAAACTGTACTTTCAGTTCCCCCTGCCTAGGAAGAAGGCATGGAAAGATACCTTGAAAATTAAGTTTCAACAACATCTTTTACTCTAAATAAGGTAATTTATCCTTACCTAAATTCTTCAGCAGGCATAAGGGAAGAATTATTAAAAAGGTCACAGCTACGACCAGAAATCGCCCATCCACATACCAGGCTCTGTAAAACATTTTTAAAAATATAGGAATAAGATAACTTTCTTACTCTGAATTCTCCCATTTGTTTAAAGTGGCTAAATTTAAAATCAGGGATGGAAACCAGCAAACCTTGGCATAATTTTAATCACCACCCCAATCCCCATGTGCAAGGTTTCAATTCAGACCTGTGATAAGACCTATCTATTCTTTCTACTTCAGGCTACTATTTGAGAGAGGGAGAATAGGGACTCTGAAAGAGAAGACTGGAAATGTTAGAGACAGAAAGTGTCCACACCCACTCTGGTCTCTAGTCCCACTCACCGCTTGCTTCAGCCAGATCCTCCCAAATAGATTACCTCTGAGGGAATGAAGCTTGTAGCTCCTCTGGATATGATGCTCATAAAATGCCTCAACTATCTCTGATGTTCTGGCCAAAAGCCCAGTGATCACTGTAGTTGTCCATGCCAATAAAAGAAACTTTGTCACATCTATCTGCAAATGCTTTCGTTCCTTGTTTACATTGGGCATTTTTCCTGTAACACCCTCTTCAACCTATTGGCTTCCACATATCTTGGGACTATATCTTCCAGGATTCACAAGCGTGCTGGAAATTCTGGGATGTTATAGTTTCAAACAATTTCAGGGATTCCATATTGGGAAAGATATACCCAACTCAGGCCCAAAAGACTGTGATTTTCAGACCATGCGTAGTCCTTCAGCATTCTTTTTGTGACCTCCTCAGCACTCCAGTTCAAAATGCTAAATTTGGCAGCAAAACTACTGATTTTAGTAGTGCAATCTTATTTTACTTTTTGCATTAAAAGTTGAGAAATAGGTATAGTAACCTTTTTGGGTTAATGCACTTATTCTTCACATTGCCCCTACATTCTGAAAAACCAAAACAAACTTTTAAAAAATTCTGAAAATGTTCAGGCCTGGCCCATGAATGAAATTACCGCATCATCAGATATGTCCTCTACTGCCCTTCTAGGCCAACCAAAACAACGAGGAGGAGGCGGCGGCGGCAGCTCTCAATTGAAATAAATACTGTCGATGATTTAATACATTTTGGTAGACTTAGCAATTATTTTAATCCAGTGTTTCTCAACCTCAGCAACTTTAAGATGCGTGGACTTCAACTCCCAGAATTTCCCAGCCAGCATACTGGCTGGGGGAATTCTGGGAGCTGAAGTTCATGCATCTCAAAGTTGCTAAGGTTGAAACACCATTTCAATCTGTCAGATCAGATCCACTGAGGTGTGCACATCACATTTGGAGTTGCCAAGGAAAGGTCTGCCTAAGTAGTGAGAGCAATGCTAGAGGGCATTATGGAGGGCAACTGGCATTAAGAAGTAGCCTTGACTGGGAATATAGGAAAGGGCCACTCTCCCAGTCCCCACAGTACAGCATGTGCTGAGGTGGTGATTTTTCGAAATTAGCCAGTTGACAACAGCACCGCACAGTAAGGGGTGTCAGAGATAAGCTGCAGGATTCATTTAGATACCTAGAAACCTATTTAATGCTAAGAATTATGCAAAGACTTTTGTGTCAGCAGCACTGGAGAAGGGCTGGGCTAAAGTTTTCAGCTTTGTGGAGACATTTCTTACTTGATGCACAGACGTTTGCACCAGCTAAAATTCTTCAAATTATATAATTGTGTGCAGATATATTTGTTTTCCTGTCCCCCAAGCTTCATATGACTTCTGTGCTGTGCTGCTACAGTATCTTTATTTTCTGGGTCTGGTCCAAATGCACTGAGAAATTCTGACATCTCTTAGTTTCTTATTCAGAAATAAGAAATAATTATTTCAGAGCCTGAAAGTTCTTTGGCATCTGTTTTTGTGTTACAGTTTCACTTTACTTAAAACATGTAAACAACACTGAAATGATCACTTTTTTACTTCTTTCCTTTCTTTTCTTTTTTTTTAATAATTCCATTAAAAAGTAGGAAAGCAGCAGCATATAAATCCTCCTAGCATTGACCACTTTCTATAAAGCCCTCATCCAACCACCAAAACAATCAAGTCAGAAAAAACATAGCTTTAACTTACACAAACGCGTCGTCTTTTCCCATAAGGAACTTTATGGCAGCAGGTAGCTCATTTTTAACTATAAAGAGGTAGCTCAACATAGCTGGAGGGAAAGCATATTAGAAAGAAAACAATAAATCATACCACCAGCATACAGTGATGTACATTTCTTTTTCTCTGTATTATTTTCAGAGCAAGTCAAAAGAGAATTTTTGGCAAAATTCAGCTAATCGTATCATGATATAGTAAGCCAAATGGGATATGTGCCTTTTTCTTACATGTGTAGAACTTGCGCTAATAAAATAAAAAGAAAGAAAAGGAAAGAGAAATCAAATGAAAACAAAACAAATATTTTAAATTTAATATAATTCCCACAGTACACCCATTGTTAATTTCCTTCAGAAAAATCGAGAATATTAAAGCTATTCCAAACTATAATTTAATAACCTAGTTTCATCCAAAGCTGTTTTAAAATTATGGAAACCTATGGCTTAGTATGACGTGGGAATGCACATTTTCCGGCTCCAAATATAATTTGCTTTAAGTGAACTTAAAAACTTCCTTTCCTCCCTGTAGACTTTCCCACTGATTGCTGGGAAGCTTTAGTCATATCCACCTGCCCTGATCCTGGTTTGTGTTTTTATGTATATGTGAGAGAGAAGGAATAGTATACATATGGGTGGTAAATGGGTATATTGTGAATAGGTATGGCTCATTGGCTCCTTCTGCAGTTCTCCAAAAGATTCAAAGCAGCCAATGCACCTTCCAATATGAAATGCTTACCTAGACCTACTGAATTAATTTATATTTTTCCTGCTTCATCAGACTTCATTTACCTCCAGTGTTCTGAAGAGATGTAGATCCAAAAACAATAATCTTTCCTGGAGTGCCAAAGACTTGTTCTCCAAGTTTTTCATAAACCATGCAGCCTAGTTAAACCAAGATGAAGAGAGATGGCCATCAATCCTGGCAAGGAACAGTATCTCCAATCATGTACAACTGCTGCATACCTATGTCATACTCTATTCATAATACTCTTCTTATCTCTTAACTGATAAACCAGACATGTAGCAGAAAAGCACCTCTGCACCATAGCATTTGTACTCTCGATTTTTTTGCAAATAAGTCCAAAGTTGTCATCTTTACTTCTGACAGTCTTGAAATGTAGAGAACACTTGTGAACCAATAGTGTTGCCCTCTTTCCTTCTAGCTGAGCAATAGGAGAGTGCAGATAATGTTGTTAAATCACTGTCTTCCTCCAACCCTGAGCCACCACTAGGCATGGAGTAACAAAAATCCCTTTCCTCTCACTCCATTCAAAATTAAAATAAAATAACTTGCAAGGGCCTCAACCGTGTTTTTCATTAAATGCATCTGTATGCCTCTGCTGGTGGTTTACAAAAAATATTGCGAGGTTATAGTGATAAGAAGCTACGTGAAGAAAATTCAAATGTAAAAAATATAACCCACATTGGCATTGGCCTATTGCATTTGAATATCCCAGTGAGCTGTGATAGTGAAATGGTAACATTTTGCAAGTAGGCACTTTCCCCAATAGCTATGACCATGATTGCACATTGTCACAGCACCTGGATGGATGGAGGGTAAGAGAACACATTACTGAACCTCCACCTTGGATATGAGAGAGCGACAGAAAAGAGATTACTAGCTTGAACATAGGAGATGGAAGGCAGGGTGAGACAAACGTTCCTGCTAATGAAAAAGGACAATCCTTATGGTCTGTAGAGCCACAGTGATTCTGTGGTTTCCAACCAATTGGAGCAGAATCAGAAATAAATCAACTTAGTTCTCAATAGTAAAAGCAAACAGCTCTGGAGCTAGTTTTAAAGTGCTGCAAACTATTGGTGTGGAAGTGCCAGTTAAATGGCCTTCATCCTTTTGCAAATTCCTTGGAGCTGGCAGCTATACTTTAACAACTATCTCAGCATTTTAATCAACCACAAACAGCATGAGGAAAAGCAGGAAATAATACACAGCTTCATTCCCTTTGTTGTAATCCTTGATGCCACCCATGGCAAGAGTTGGGAACGGTTTCATTGTAGACTTTCTTTCCAGTTCACAGAGGAGGAGGATGACAGAGAAGGAGAGGTACCAGTTAGGACACCCATCCCCCTTCTTCCCCATACAGTGCTAACCCCATAAACAATAAGATCTTAAAAAGGTATTATTCTGACCAAATGAAGCATTTCCAATTTAAATATCTCTTTGTTTCCCCGACAGCATGACCAATTATACAATTTTCACATTGTATATATTTTGTAAGGTAATAAATTAAACATATGAGTTCTATCACAGCTGAAGAAAACTGTAAAAAAAAAAAAAGGTTGATGGATCAAACCTACAGTATTTTAGGTCCACTATCATGTTTTTGACGGAGAAAAATTAGATGCACTGACAAGCTTACAAATAGGTAATTAAGGCAGCAGTCAGGTCTTCAGAATGTTTATGGTGTTGGCATGTAACCCTTTTAATTATTACTAGACAACCCTGTGATGTGTTGGGTCATCCTTTGAGAGAAAGGTAGTGCAGTTTGATGTGGCCAGAATGAACATTAAATTTTAAGCAGACCATATATTTTTTTTTACCCCAGTGCTGGACAGTCTCATGATCAACTAAGAAGGGGATATATCATAAATAGAAAAATAATTGTAGTGGCAAACGAACTTCAATAATAAGTCAATATTTACTTACCTGAACAGAAAAACAGAATGACCACAGGTGGGCAAAAAAGCAGTGGGAGTGGGAGAAACTTCCGACTTCCTGCCAGCTTCCCCACTGACTTTGCTTGTGGGAAGCTGGCAGGGAGTGCTGGAAATCATGATCATGTGACCACAGGGACGCTGCAATGGCCACAACTTTGCGAATAAAACTAGACTGAACATCGTGGAAATTTCAATTCCACAGGAGAACGGGTCCCGGATTTTTTATGCATTCTTTAAGTTAGTGGATTTTAGGTACCTGTGATGGAATGAACTTATGAAGGCCATGCTCAGGGAGATGAGCATGTTCTTAGCCCCCAACAGGAGCGTGGGAAGTTCAAGAAGATGAGGCTGGCACCTCCCTAAGGAATTCACAGTGTTGTGGCTGGCTGGCTTTGGGACTTGGGTTCAGTCTGGTGAGATTCTGTCTTGAGGTGGAAGCTAATAAACGCAACAGAACTGTTTTTGCATTGTCTCTTGAAGTTCCTTGGGCTGAACCTGACAGTACCTTGATTCAAAAACTGTTGTGGTATAATGCACTGTTTAGGCTAACTTGAGGGTACAGACAGACAAACACAATGCGAGTTTTAGTAATATACAGATGTTGAACTCCTTTTGCTGATCAACAGTAGCTCATATTATCCAGAGGTGTACTAAATAGAAAATTGAGGAATCCTCCCTTTGTGTTGCATTCAACATAGAAATGAATGCTTTTTTGCTCTGCCGTGATGGTGGGTCCACAATCCTGCTAAGCAGGGCTGAAGTCTGTAAAGGATTTTGACTTGCAGCAAGATGCTTCCTTTCCTTGTTTAGAAATCCAGCCATTTTGCATACACCTTTATCATGATGCCATGTGGTAGTGTCCAATGCACACAAGGGCAGAGAAATTGCACTGAATTTACATACTCTCATTGACTTGTATGTCCCAGGCAGAGCTAAACATCCTTCTCCCCATTGTATATCAGGTACTGTCCTGTTTCCTAAAGAAGGCATATGTGTGTGTGTGTGTGTGTGTGTGTATACACATACAGACACACATACACATACAGTATACAGAATCTGCATTGAATTATTTTAGCGAAATGGATTAATCCATGTCTCCAATGTCCTTGAAGTTACTGTTTCATTCCTCACTCTCTGTTTTGACAATATACCTCTGCAGAACTTGCTCTTTTTTCAACAAAGGGGCAAAGAAGGTGATTTCAAACAATTTGGTCAAGATTCTCTGATTTATTTTCTCTTTGCCTTTTTAAACATACATTATTATGTACTACGTTTAACCTCAATATATTATTAAGATCACATTTTAGCTTTAGCAGTATGTACTTTTTTTAGTTTAATAAAGCGAAACTAAATAATGCTTCTATTTTTTTCTTGGTTTAACAAAGCATAGTTAATTTTTTTAGAATTAATAAAGCAAAGCAAAATAGGGTAGAAGATTTAAGCTTTTATTTGCCACATTCATAATCTCTACATTGTTCCCTTGTAGCAAAATAATATAAAAATTTATGAATTACCTGTTTCCTTTGCACATGTTAACAAGAGATTTATTGAATAAATGGACAGCAGTGTCACTGAAATCAAAAGCAACCTATAGGGGAAAAAGAAAGAAAAAACCTTTCAGCACTATAATATAAAAGTTGAGTAAGCACGAATGTGAAGTAGTAATAAGAATATGGCTCCCTTATGTTAGCACCATTACTTGGGGGGCAGGCCTTATTAATAGCCCAGTGACAAATGACAAATCAGACATTAAAATAATTGCTCTGAAATTTGTCATTTGGTCCTAAGATATTTTGGACCAATTTTGAGGACATTCGAGCCCATACTCTTCTGAGTGTGGTGACTTTAAATTTAGCAATTAATACTAAACAAGCGAAGCGGCTGGGCCAAAGCCGAAAGGACGTTCAGCTGTGGATGTATCTGGAAGCGAAA